TTCGAAGAACCGCTGCCCTCCCTCCGCTCGGACTCTTTATCAGTATAATATCTACCCGGTGCAAGATAGCTATAAACAAGATACACAGAATGCTGCTCAATAAATAATCCTCGCTGTTTGATACAGAGCCTTATCACGTTGATCATGACAAGACACCTCAAAGCACTTTACAGGATTTGACTGTAAAGTGAGTAATATTTTATTGGTTGGCATGACAGCAAAATTCCCCTAAACAGCCGTGAAATGAACAGTCATTTTTTGGGGTCGAGATTGTTGGCCAGGACATTGGGAGAGAGAAACTTCCTTCTCTTTTTGAATAGCTTTGCGGGATCTTTGACGTCCACCTGAAGGAGCTCAGACGGGCCCTCGATTTAATGTCTCGTGCAAAGGGCGTTATTACAAACTCAAACGGGTTCATATTCCCAGAATCAAGCTTAACAGGCTCCTCCACAGGCTGCAGATCATCCAGAACGCTACAGCCCGTGTCCTCTCCCACACTAGGCTCCGTGACCCTGTCGCCCCCATCCTCGCCCAACTCCACTGGCTTCCCATCACACAGAGGATACAGTTCCAGATCCTGATCCTCACCTTCAAAGCCCTCCACGGATGAGAGCTAACTTTCTTCAGTTGAACGCCTCCTCACCTCAGGCGCTGACAGCATCACCATCCATGGTTGCCCGCTACATCTCACTGAGCCAGTCTGAAACCTTGGGGTCTTGTTTGACCCTCAACTATCCTTTCTACCACACATATCGCCCACAAATGTACAGTCAATTCACTTTACAGTATATTCTGTGAATCGATTTGAGATGACTAGAAGACGTGAAAAGTGCTATATGCAAGGATTATTAATATTATTAATATCTGTGCCATGACCCGCTCTGCATTCCCCTACCTCCGCAACATCGCCCTGCTCCGCCATCTCACACCACAGGCCGTTGAAACCCTGTAGACGTGTCCACTCCCGCATCAGGCTCCGTGACCCTATCACCCCCATCCTTGCCCAACTCCACTGGCTTGCCATCATACAGAGGATACAGTTCAAGATGTGCAGTCCCTTCATCTCGCCCCCCCCCCCCCCTCGCCTCTTTGAAGACCTCCTCTTCAATCGTGCTTTCGATCTCCCTGCTGCCCTCCCCCTTCCTCCACCCCTCAGCTCGGATCCATAACTCTGGCCTGTCCAGCGCCTTGGGACGTCCTCCCGACGTGAAAGCTTGTTGTTGTTGTTAACCTGTGCGCGGCTACTATCAGACCGTACAAGTCTTGTGGCCCCTTCAGCTGTGGTCCCAGAGGTAGTGTAGAGGGCCCTGCCCCCTAGTGGTAAGAGTGACTATGACTACGTAGAATGACTGCAATACAATACTGGGGAATGACTGGGGAAGGGAAAAGTGGAACAACAGCGCAGTCAAAGACCTAGGTGTTGAGATGGGCCTTGAATGAGGTGAGGGACGAGCTATGACAGGATATATATATTCCCTGAATTATTACTGAGATCCAAAGACTTCTGCCTCAATAGCAACGACAACCATAACAACCTCACCTGGGGTAGTGGCTCCAAGTGAGCTGGTTCAATTGTAACCATTAAATAACAATAATAATCCTGGCATCTGATATAGCACCTTATCACGTCGTTGAAACACCTCGAAGCACACTGCAGTCTCCCACAAGCAGTCGTGGGACACCGCCGGGCGCAATGGGCTCCTGCTTTTCGCCCACAAAATATACAGTCAATTCACTTTACACTATATTCTGTGAAGAGCTTTGAGACATCTAGAAGACGTGATTAGGCGTTGCATCGAATGCAAGGATTATTATTATATATTGTACTCAGTTTGTTCTACATTTTGTGAGGTGGTTATCGAAATAGGGTGAATATTCGGGCTCACGGAGACCGGTCATAGGAATTCGGAGACAGATAACCTGTTGAATTTGTTAGATTGAGATTTCAATCTGTTTATCTCTCTTAAGGGTTAAAAAGGTTGGTTTAAGTGCTTTGGCTTTATGGCTTGTTTTGTTAGATTTTGTGAGTTAATGGATTCTATGGTCCAGATGGAGACTTTTAGTCTAAAGCATAGTTGGGTGGTACAAAGTACGCACATGGACTCATTTGAGGTATAAAAGAGAGGGAGTGAAATTATATGGGGTTGCTGAGTTTTGGAGTTTTAACTAACATTTGACTTTAATAGCACCATTTATAAAAACTCTGACTCTCAGCAATTTGTAAGAGAGTTGGACGAGATGTGAATTTGGGGGTAGGGTTACTCTATTTGTTTACCGCTGGGAGTCCAAGTGTTGAGGCTCAGCTGTTAGATATCTTACAAAGTATGGGATATTATGCCTTGTTAAAGTTACATTAATATAGTATTATCAAAGTGTTATATAAGAATTGTGTTTGTTATTTTTGTGTCGATTGCTCTGAATGCGGGTTTGAACGAATAAGGAATATTTTATTAAAAGCCAAATGTTGGGTCTATTTTGCGAGACCGCTCTCGCTGGGTACGTACCCTAATAGTGATTTGAGGAGAGAAGGATCGCTCCTTTCAGAGTGCCCCTGTAAGGAGCGTTTAATTCTCACGCAGAGGTAAGATACCGTGACAACATCAAAGAGAGAACAAGCAGCCATGAACTGAGTGACCAATTTTATTTCGAGGATTGTTTTAATATTTATTTAATTGGGAGTTTTTATTGAATTCAAATTTTAATTTCATTGGAGTTGGCCGGCCGGGATCTAATAGAATGTCGGAACAGGCTCGAGGGGCTGAATGGCCTCTTCCTGTTCTTACGTTGGCCAGGACACCGGACGAAGCTCTCTTCTCTTAATCTGACTATTGCTGTGGGATCTTTAACGTTAATCAGGCAGACGGAAACTCGGTTTAACGTCTCATCCAATGGCACCTCCGGCAATGCAGACGTACTCCACAGCTCTGCACTGGAGTATCATCTTAGACTGTACAACTCCCAACTTGGGGCTTGAACCCACAACCTTCTGATTGAAGAACAACAACTTGCAGTTACATAGCGCTCCTCGCGCAGGATAGCGTCCCAGAGTGCTTGACAGTGACGGAGTTGGGGGGGCGGGGGGGGGGGGAGGGGAGAAATGGACCCAAAAATTGAGTGTGTTACCCATTGAGTTCAGCTGACACAGAATTAGGCTCAAATTTAAATAGCCATTACCATTACCTTTTTCATGTGACGTTGCTGGGCGCAGTTTAGCGGCCGTGTTTGTTTGTGCAACTAATCAATTGTAGCTTGTAAGATGCTAAACGAAAAGGAACCGTAAAAATTGATGTCGCCGTTGTTGTTTGTACGCCCTGCAGGCTAAGTATAAATGGTTCTGACATGTTTATTTTAATGTGTCCAAATTAGTTACGAGTAACGATTTGGAGGAACCTCAGGAATAACCAGAAGGAAAATTGATCTGTAAATTTAATTAACCATTTCGCTTCCAATTCTCTCTCTCTCTCTCTCCCCCCCCACACCGACCCCCCCACTCCCACACACACACACACACAGACGCACAAAGGCACACACATACTCATCAGGAGCTGGTGATACTTAAAGGTTTTTGAGATTAGTCAATTCCGCAACCTCTGAGTCAGAAAGTTGTTGGGTTCAACCAACATAGGGATTTGGAACTTAACAGTCCAGGCTGACACTCTTAACACAAGAACAGGAGGAGGCCATTCAGCCCCTCAAGCCTGTTCCACCATTCTATAGATCATGGATCATCTGTACCTCATCCTTGACCTGTATCTATCCGCCCGAGTGTTTTTTTGAAACGGAATGGATTTAGGAACCACAGCCTTTTGGGGGAGAGAGTTACAGATTTTCACTACCCTTTGATGGAAAAAATGCTTCCTGATTTTAATAAAAATAATAATAATCCTTGCATTTGATATAGCGCTTTTCACGTCGGGAGGACGTCCCAAAACGCTTCACAGAACACACTGTAAAGTGAATTGACTGTATATTTGTGGGCGAACGCGGCAGCCAATTGCGCACAGCAATGTCCCACAGACAGTCGTGGATTGAAAATGACCAATTTATTATTGTTTTTGGTTTTGGAGGGATTATTATTAGGCTCTGTGTGGAGTAAGGAAACTTGCCCGAGGTTTCGCCCTCTGCCTGGAATTGAACTCAGGTCTCTCACTTGCAAAGCGAGTGCTCTAACCACTGAGCTACAGGACTCCATGATTTCACTCCCAAATGGATAATAAAGTAGTTTGGGTTTACTGTATTGTCCGAGGTGCCGTCCTTCAGATGAAATGATAAACCGAGGTCCCATCTGTGCCCTGTTCAGATGGATGTTAAAAATCTCACAGCACTGTTCGAAAGGAGGTTCTCCCAGTGTCCAACCCAGATACAATGTTTGCGGGACGTCACTGTACACATATTGGCTGTACATATGTACACATATTTCACCTAACAAAATGCACAGTTACTACACTTTACAACAACAAAATTACATTTGCAAAGCGCCTTTCACGTCGGGAGGACGTCCCAAGGCGCTGGACATCTGTGTTTCGAGCCCGAGCTGGGGGTCGGGGAGGCTGGAGGGCAGGGGTGGGGAAGCGGGGTCGAAGAGAAGATGATCATTCGATATAGCGCCTTCTCACGTCTTCGTGACATCTCAAAGCTTTTCACAGAATACACTGTGCGAAACGCGGCAGCCAATTGCGCCCAGCAGCGTCCCACAAGCAGTCCTTAAATTGAATGATCAAATTATTATTTATTTGTTTATTGGAGGGATTATTAGCCCCGGAAAAGCGATCCGCCCATCGCCTAACAATTGGGTTCCTACTTACCTCTCGGTAAACAGAGGAGTATGGAGTAAGGAAACTTACCCAATGTTTCGCCCTGCCCGGGAATCAAACCCAGGTCCTCTTGGTTGTGAGGCGAATGCTCCAACCACTATATATTATTATTATTAGTGCAGTTTCTTTTTAATTAGACCTCCGGTTTTGCACAATGAATGGTGTGGAATGAAAAGGCAAACATGACCATGATAAGCTTTAATGAAAATTGGCAACGTGTAAATCCAGGCTTACAATTCACGAGTCATTTTTAATCTTTACATTCAAACAGATATTTGCAAAACATCACCCTGAGCGCTAGATAGAAAACAAAATAAGAAAACAAGTAATTTCCTTTCCTCCTCACCACCCCACCCCCTCCACTCTCCCCGAGTTAATTACATTATTGGAGGCTACAGATTGAAAGGACTCTCAGAAAATTTAATAATATGAAGGATAATGAGTTATGTCTATGGTCACCAGGTTCTGTCAAGCTCCAAGTGCTGTGACTGCCGATTCCGATGTACCTGCAGACTCCAAATTATTGAGAAATGCCTCTTCAGAAATTGTAATGGTTATGATTCGAAGGCATCGTTGCTATCACCTATTTTTTTTCCCTGCCAGTGATCTCGCTGTCTGAAGGCCGTTCCAACCCAGTTTGTGCAGTGATTTACTGTTAGCCTTGACACTGGCTTCCTTCACATTTGGCTCTCCGGGACCTGAAAAAAAAAAGATTTTTGTTAAACAAAAAGATATTTTTTCCTCCCTCATCGGAACAGGAGGAGGCCGTTCAGCCCCTTGAGCCTGTTTCCGCCATTCTATTAGATCATGGCTGAGCTGTAACTCAACTCCAATTATCAGCGCTGGCCCCATATCCCTTGATATCCTGACCTAACAAACATCTATCTACTTCAGTCTCGAAAATTTGAATGGATCCAGCATCCACTGCCTTTTAGGGGAGAGAGTTCCGGATCCCCACTACCCTTTGGGTTAAAAACTGCCGCTGATTTCACTGCTAAGTGACTTAGCTCTAATTTTAAGATCATGCCCTCCTTCTTCCTCCCTCCCTAGTCCATCAGAAATGGCAAGCCAAGTCATGAGGACAGTTCTAAGGTCTTACTTGACAAGGAGAGATGAGAGAAACTCAGTTTTCCCATCAGGGAAGGTTAAGAGGAGACCTTAGCAATGCTCAAAATGAAGAGGTGTTTTGATAAGGTAATAGTAAGAATAATCCTTACATTTAGTATAACGCCTTATCACGTCTCAAATCGCTTCACAGATTTATTCGAGTTCGAGTCCTGATGTGGGATGTGAACCCATGACCTACGGACTCAGAGGTGAGAGTGCTACCATTGAGCCAAGGTGACACTGGAAAAACTATTTCCACCAATTACTGACAGTGAGTCAGTAATCAAATCTTGGAATGTTCTTATCAGAGAGTTGTTACGGTCTGGGATGCACTGCCTGAAAGGCTGGTGGAAGCAGATTCGATAATAGCTTTCGAAAGGGAATTGGATCGGTACTTAAAAAGGAAAATTTTGCAAGGCTGCAGGGAAGAGCGAGGGAATGGGATTAGTTGATAGCCAAATGGCCTCTTTCTGTGCTGTAGTTTTCTAGAGCCAACCGCGCATTTCTTATTGAGAAATCGGCATAAATTAGACCCGGTGATTTCTTAAAATGAAAGCTATTTCTTACTGCTGCTTTCAGGGCCTGGTCCAAGTCTGCAATGAGATCTTCCTCGTTCTCCAAACCAACCGATAATCGGATTAAGGTATCGCTTATGCCTAGAGCTTCCCGATCTTCTGCTAGCACAGAAGCGTGGGTCATAAGAGCCCTAAAAAAACACACAGAACGTAGTTGGTTAGGGTTAGATTATCTTGTCAAGAACTCGGCTGCCTCTCAACTGCTACAGTTGATATTGTGTTGTAATGAGGGTTTCAGTAAAGCATCTGGGTCAAAAGTATATTTAGTGTTACCCATACCCACTTATTATTATATTATTATATGGAACGCTTTACTATAAAAGATAGTCAAGGATGAGGCCATAAACAAGATAATATTCTTATAACAATTTATTATTGTTTTGGGTTTTGGAGGGATTATTATTAGGCTCTGTGTGGAGTAAGGAAACTTGCCCAAGGTTTCGCCCTCTGCCTGGAATTGAACCCAGGTCTCTCACTAACAAAGCGAGTGCTCTAACCACTGAGCTACAGGACTCCACTTGAGGCGAGTGCTTCAACCATTATACTATAGGACTCCCAAGAATGCATTTTACTATCCATTCCCCAGTATGGAAACTGTCCCCGTGATTATTCAATCTAAAACCATTACAGTTCAAAACTAGTATTTTAATAATTCATAAGAATTCGGCCCCTCTAGCCTGCCTCGCCATTCAATAAGATCATGGCTGATCTATTCTAACTCCACCTACCTGCCTTATCCCCATATCCCTTAATCCCTAAGATTAAGATGTTTTTTGCCGCTAGGCGAATGACAAATAAGTGACTCACGGGTGTTCTGCAAGACTTTCGTATCCTCCCAAACTCTCTGCAAGAGCGAAGATCTGAAAGAAATCAATGGCAAGTCTGCATTCAGAGTGAACAGGTTTGGCTTAATCGGTGAAATACAGAGAATGCAGGACCTTGGTACACTGCCAGCAATATGACAACAAATTACATTTGTATAGCGCCTTCAAGGCTCGTCTCAAGACCCTCTTCTTCAACCGCATTTTCGGTCACCCTCCTACCCCTACCTACTCTCCCTGCCCTCCACCCTTCCTGATTCCGACCCCCAGCTTGGGCCCAAATCCCTTGTAAATGTAACCTGTTGTTGTTATTCCAAATGTCTTCAAAACCACTCACTTTTAAGCTCTGTAGGAAAATCTTGCTGTTTTCCAGTCCGCCTTTGATGTAGAAGGAAATCATGCCCGAACACCCAGAGCACTGGCGTTTCAACAACTCATACTGGGGGTGGGAAGGCAGGCCTGACAAACACACAGAGAAAAACTCATTGCTTGTTAACACGACCAAAGCCCCTTCAACCAGTTCCGCTATTCCCAGGGGGGCATGTTCAGAGAGGGGGTGGGGGTGATAAGGCCTGAAGGGATTTATAGATGAGAACCTTGAAAATCCATCTGCCCTGAGACAGAAAAATAATAATAATAATAATAATAATCCTTGCATTTGATATAGCGCTTTTCACGTCGGGAGGACATCCCAAAGCGCTTCACAGAACACACTGTAAAGTGAATTGACTGTGTATTTGTGGGCGAACGCGGCAGCCAATTGCGCACAGCAATGTCCCACAAACAGTCGTAGATTGAAAATGACCAATTTAATTATTGTTTTTGGTTTTTTGGAGGGTTTGAATGGTTATAGAGAGTGGAAAATGATGGGTTACATTGAATGTCACAATCTTTAAGCACTGAAGGCTGACAGATTAGCAAATGGAAACAAGAACAAAGTTTGTTCTGGTGTCCTGGCTAACAATCCTCCAAATATATCTGGTGAAGATGGACCAAATTTTTTTTTGTGGAGGGTTTATTCCCCCCGGAAAGCGATCCGCCAATCGACTAACAACCCAGGTTCCTACTTACTGGTAGGTAAACAGAGGCGTGTGTGTGGGGTAAGGAAACTTGCCTAAGGTTTTGCGCTGTCTGGGAATCGAACCCGGGTCTTCTCGCTTGCGAGGCGAGCGCTCTAACCACTAGGCTACGGGACTGCACTCTGACTTCCGCTGTTTATTGGCCAACCGGGAGTTTCTGTGTCGGGAGGTCACTGACCTGGGAAAAGGACCTTCTCCACTCGCGGGTTGGCCTCCAAAAAGCGAGCAGCCATAAGACCACTTTTGAAATGCTGTTTCATTCGCAGAGACAAGGTCTTCAGGCCTCGGTTACACAAGTAGCAATCAAATGGAGATGGAACAGCGCCCAGAGCTGCAATAAAAAATGTACCAGTTTATAATTAACAACATATTTATTATCTCATGGCTAAATTCGAACAGTAAACACATCAATCGTGTGATTCGAAGCATAGCACGGCCTTGAAGCCCAGAAGTAGGCCATTTGGCACATCGGGTCTAAACTGATGATGGATCATCTACTGGAGGAATTACAGTTCCCTTCTAACAAGCTCAGGTTACTTTGTGAAGTCCTGTAGCTCAGTGGTTAGAGCACTCGTTTTGCAAGTGAGAGACCTGAGTTCAATTCCAGGCAGAGGGCGAAACCTTGGGCAAGTTTCCTTACTCCACACAGAGCCTAATAATAATCCCTCCAAAAAAACAAAACAATAATAAATTGGTCATTTTCAATCCACGACTGTTTGTGGGACATTGCTATGCACAATTGGCTGCCACATTTGCCCACAAATATACAGTCAATTCACTTTACAGTGTGTTCTGTGAAGCGCTTTGGGACGTCCTCCGACGTGAAAAGCGCTATATCAAATGTGAGGATTATTATTATATTATTAACAGGATATTATCTTGTTTATGGCCTCATCCTTGACTGTCTTTTATAGTAAAGCGTTCCATATAATAATAAGTGCGTATGGGTAACACTAAATATACTTTTGACCCAGATGCTTTACTGAAACCCTCATCACAACACAATATCAACTGTAGCAGTCGCACCAAACTAAACTGGAGGTTTTTGGAAGAGATTTTAAACTATTCCCCTGCACTTTTTCCAGCTGAAAAAAACACACATTTACCGTTTTGCAAGAACTTCATTCGTTCGTAGAGGTCCTCGCGGTTCATGGAAACCAAACCCATGACTACGTCGCTGTGACCTGCAAACACAATGGAAATTTCCAACAGCACGATTAACAACCCAACGACTGATCAAAGAGGAACTGGTCAAAAGATTCAAGATGCTCTACCATCACCTTGGTTTCCCGATGGCATAATAGTTAAAGCGCAATGCAAACACTAGGCGCAGTTTGGCAAGAGCCAAAGCTTGTGGGGAGGGAATCCCAGAGTGCGCGTTGGGGACGATACTTAGAGGTTCTGACCAAACACAAACAGAAATCTCATCAACGGTTACACGATTGGTGTTACCAATTTGTCTCCAGATCCATTCTCAATCGCATTTGGTAGATTTAGGCAAAGGCTCTCACCATTCATGTACTTTGTTGCAGAGTACATACACATGTCAGCACCAAGGGCCAAAGGACGCTAGAGGAACACAAAGGATATATTAGAATTATAATAATCCTTGCATTTGATACAGCGCTTTGTCACAGCGTTGAGACGTCTCAAAGCGCTTCACACAGAATATACTGCAAAGTGGAATGACTATGTATTTTGTGGGCAAAATGCAGCAGCCACACGATTGAGTGACCAACTTATTTTTTTTTGAAGGGATTGTTATCCTCGGAAAGCGATCTGCGAATCAACTTAACAACCGGGTTTCTAATTGCTGCTAGGTAAACAGGTGTGTGGAGTAAGAAACTTTTCTAAGGTTTCGCTCTGCCCAGGAATCAAACCTCGGTCCTCTCGCTTGCGAGGCGAGTGCTCTAACCACTACACTTCAGGACTAATTGCTATGGCAATACACAACCTCAGGATGTTGAGTCTATTTTCCTATTGGAGAGTGAACCATTGAATTAGATGTCGTCATGTTGATTTGCAGAACACTGTGAATGGCTTAGTTCTGGTTTGTAGGCGTGGAGTTCTCCTGTAGCGTGTTGGTTAGAGCTCTCGCCTCGCATTGAGGGGACCTGGGTTGTTTGTGGGGACGCTGCTGTGCGCAACTGGCTGCCGTGTTTCACCCACAAAATATACAGGCAATTCACTTTACAGTATATTCCATGAAGCGCTTTGAGATGTCTCTGAGGATCTCTGAGCAGTCTACTCCTGTTGCACTGTAACGGTGCGCTCATACTTTGATCATCTTATAAATAATAAACAGGATCCCATTTGATAGATCTTTTTTCATGTCAGATGGATGTCTCAAAGAGCTTCACGAGAGCTACTTTAAAGTGTAGTGACTGTGGTATTTTGTAGACTAACCCGGCAGCCAATCTGTGCACAACAAAAAGGCCTGGAGTGACCAGTTTTATCAGGGTGTTTCGCTCACAAAATATACAGTCAATTCACTTTATATCCCGTAAGTCGCTTTGAGATGTCTCGAAGATGTAATAAGGTGCTATCTCAAATGCAAAGATTATTATTATCGGCCAGGACGTGGGGGGAAACTCCCTTCTCTTTTTAAATACTGCCACGTGATCTTTAATGTCTCCCTGAACAGACAGACGGGACCTCAGTTTGACCTCGGTCTTATCCCGAGCACTGCCCTGGAGTGTCGGCCTAGACCAGGTGGGTTTAATGCCCCAAACGTCTGACTCAGACAGACTCCAACCGAAACTGATAGGCTGACACCCACAAATTATGGGCTGATTTGGAAAGTCTCGAAACCAACGTGAGTCAAGTTTATTTTGTTTTATAAAAACAGCACTTGTTTGGCCCCAATGATCAACTACACACATATACACACACACCACACACACAATACTCAACAAGTTGTTTGTAGTTACTATTTTAGTTCACACATCGGGTTTGCTTGAGTGAGCACCAGATGGCGTTTTGTGGGTCTATATCTCAATCACGTGAGAGTGACTTCAGTGGCTAAGGGGAAAAGTTTTGTTTTAAGTAACAAAAAAACTAAAAGCTGAAACTTGTCCACAAATATACGGTCAATTCACTTTACAATCTATTCTGTGAAGCGCTTTGAGACATCGATAAGACGTGAAAAGCGCTATATCAAATGCAAGGATTATTATTGTTGTTGTTTAAAGTTTAATTAAAAAAAAGTCTTTCTGTGCTATAGGATTCTGTGATCCCTTGATACCCTGACCTAACAAAGATATACGCTTACGTAACAAATATTAGCAAATCATTCAATTGCTTCTCGTGTAAATCTGGCAAGTGTTCAGAGAAAGAACTGCTTTTAACTCGAGTGACTTAAGAATGCAGAATTTACACATTTTCTGCCGGTCTGCACCCATTTTTAAGACAAAAGCGGGTCGGAGAGGTTGGGAGGAAGGAGCACTGAAAACATGTGAAGGACAGGCATTGTGGTAGGCGCTATACAAATGTAATTCTGTTGTTGGGTCAGGATCACAGAGCAGACTTTTCACGAGTTCAGCAGCTCAATAGTACAGGTTTTTTGCTCCAGTCTTAGTCTCTCTTAAGGACAACATAAGCCATTTCGCAGGCACCTATCTTGCATGTGATTTGCTTCCAACAGAGAACAACCGATGTAACTGCGGTTGCTGTAAAACGAAGGACAAGAGTACCAGATGTGAAATCAGACAAAGGTAAACAAGAGACACTGCTTTCTGCTTGCTCTGTGCAAATAGTTAAACCGAGCTAATTGCTTCAAGTTGGTGTCGTGAAAACATCCGAGGAACAAAGGTGTTATTTACCTGGAAATAGGCTGACATGAAGGTGTTATCCACGACCAAAATGACGCCCTCGTGTTTGTGCACAATTTTTGCACACGCTGCAATGTCGCTGACCTTCATCAAAGGGTTGGAGGGACTCTCAATCCACACGAGCTGGGCACAGAAACAACAAATGCGTGGATTAAAATGCGGGACATGCGGCACATGGCGGCTGCGTTTCGCCTGCAGAATACAGTCACTACACTTTACAGCATATCCCGTGAAGCACTTTGCGAAGTCCCAACGACGTGATAAGGTGCTACACCAAATGCAAGGATTATTATTACTCTATCCCACAGCAACGCAGGCTGATTGCCCCTGTCCAGTTGGGCTCTGGGATGCGGAGGTCCGAAATTCTACCTGGCCTTAGCCTGAGAGATGGTTTTGTTTTAAAATTTACTTGAAACCTTAATTTGGAAGCCATTCCTTTTAAAGTCCTGTGGGAAATTTTCACACGGGACTTCCCAGTGGAAGCTGAACAGTAAGAATTTTCCACTAGTCAGTGCGATCTTAAATTTTAGGGCCAAAATGGTTTGATCAACTAAATGACAAGGGTAATTTACGGCCACTTGGGTGCAGTTGCTACGGACATCTACCTGGACTTTGCACATTCTCTCACATCTTAACCACATGGCACTTGTCCACACATGGCAACACTGCAAGAGATGTTTGACCTCTTGTCTCTCGTTGCTGAGGAATCTTGTTGTGTGATATTCAGCGACCCTCACATCTCGGAGCGCTTAACAGTGTGGGAGCCTGACACTGAGCCGGTGGTTGGGGGGGTGCGGAGGGTGGGTGGGGTGGTGGGTGCGTGGGGAAATGGGAGGGAGGAGGTGAGGAAGAGGAAGGGCTTGAGTCCTCGGGAGACCTTGCCTGGGGCCCCCAGATTTCCACCTAGCCTGACCATTTTGCCTTTAAAATCACGTCGAATTTTTTTTTTCAAAATTTAGCTACAAATTAAAAGAACTGCAAAAAGTTGACTTCCAAATTACAACTGAATTTGAGAATTCTCCACAGTTCTGGTGTGATCCTAACTATTAAAATACAATGACTTACAGCCTAAGGTTAACCTTTATGGAATTTCAGGCCTCAGAACCATTCGGACTTGCTCTTGCCTCACAAAATCTCTGATCCCTTCATTTTTTGGAGAGGGAGGGACTTTGACAAAAAAAAATTGTGATTCCTTTCAACTATTACTATGTGGAGTCCTGTAGCATATTAGGTAAGAATCAGAAAGTTAAGTAACCTGAAGGAACAGTCAATACTGCATAGTTTGCAACAGGGGTTTCCCATTCCTTTAGCTCTCAATTTCATGGACTACCAGACACTTTGTTTTAGATACAACGTTAGCACAATTTTTGTTGAGACGTCTCAAAGCACTTCACAGAATATACTGTAAAGTGGATTGTCTGTGCATTTTGTGGGTGAAACGTGGCAGCCAATTGCGCACAGCAGCCCCACAAACAGCCACGGACTGAGCGACCAATTTGCAAAAAAAAAAGTATTTCAATTATTTGTAATTTACATTTCGAACTTTTAAAAACATTCGTAATTCCCGATAACAATTTTTAGAACGTCCGTAAATGCAATTCAAATGCTTACGTTTATTCCCACTTGTATTCCATCTAAATAACGTCTTTCTTTAAAAAAAATGTGTCACTTTGCAAACACATTTTTAAAAGCACGCTGGAACAGGGCTCGGTATTATTCAGTTATTTGGGACTAGATCTGCACATAAATTGTTCTAAAGGAGTAAAATATAAATCCTGCAGCACTTTAATCCACGACTGTTTGTGGCCTGTATTTAATTCTACAGGTGTACACTCCCACCCTCGCTCGCCTCCACTGGCTCCCCATCCCCCAGAGGATCGAATTCAAGATCCTCATAGATTCATAGAATGTTGCGGCACAGGAGGCCATTCGGCACAGGAGGCCATTCGGCACAGGAGGCCATTCGGCCCATCGAGTCTGTGCGGCTCTTTGACAGAGCGTCACTTTCACTAACCCCAATCACCAGCTTTCTCCCCATAACCCTGCAACCCCGTCTTCCCCAGATACCTATCCAGTTCTCTCTTAAAAGCTGTTATCGAATCGGACTTCACTGCCCTTTCGGGCGGATCATTCCAAATTTGGACAATTCGCTGAGTGAAAAAATTTCTTCTAACCCCCCCCCCCTGCTTCTTTTGGTAGATATCTTAAGACTGTGACCACGGGTCACAGACACACCTACCAGCGGAAACAGCTTTTCCGTATCTCGCCTGTCGAAACCTTTCATGATCTTGAAGACCTCTATCAGGTCCCCACATAACCTTCTCTGCTCTAATGGGAAAAGTCCTAACTTCTCCAGCCTGTCCTCATAGCTAAGGTTCCCCATTCCTGGTATCATTCTCGTGAATCTCCTCTGCACCCTTTCCAGTGCCTTAATGTCCTTCCTGAAGTAAGGTGCCCAGAACTGGACGCAGTACTCCAGCTGAGGCCTAACCAGTGTTTTGTACAGATTAACCATAACCCCTACTCTTATACTCTATGCCCCTACTAATGAAGCTCAGTACACCAAATGCCTTTTTTACTGCCTTATCTACCTGCCCCGCTACCTTTAATGATTCGCTTACTTGAACACCCAGATCTCTCTGTACGTTCACCCCCCTTAAGATTGAGCTCCAAGTCTATATTGCCTCCTATCATTTTTCCTACCTAAGTGTATCACCTCACACTTATCCACATTGAAATCCATCTGCCACATGTCAGCCCATTCCACCATTCTGTGTATGTCTGCCTGCAGTTGGTTACAGTCCTCCTCACTATTTACTACCCTACCTAACTTTGTATCATCTGCAAACTTGGAAATAGTGCTCTCTATGCCTAAGTCCAGATCATTAATATATATTAGAAAGAGCAGTGGTCCCAATACCGATCCCTGGGGAACACCGCTGCACACCTCCTTCCATTCCGAGAAACACCCATTAACCCTCTGCTTTCTGTCACTCAGCCAGTTCTTAATCCAAACTGCCACTGTTCCCCTAATACCGTGAGCCTCTAATTTTTGTATTAATCTCTTATTTGGTACTGTGTCAAAATCCTTTTTGAAATCCATGTAAATAACGTCCACCGCATTTCCCTCATCAACCCTCGCAGTCACCTCTTCAAAAAATTCTATTAGATTTGTTAGGCAAGATTTGCCTTTAACAAATCCATGTTGGCTGCCTCTAATTACCTCATGTTCCTCTAAGTAGAGATTTATTCTGTCCCGGATTATGGTCTCCAGTAATTTTCCTATTACCGAAGTTAGGCCGACTGACTGTAATTTACGGGCTTGTCTTTCTGCCCCTTTTTGTAGAGGGGGTAACATTAGCCACTCTCCAGTCTCTTGGCACCACTCCTGTGTCCAATGAAGATTGAAATATAATGGCCAAAGCCTCCGCTATTTGAACCCGTATCTCCCACAGCAACCTTGGGTGAAACCCATCTGGTCCTGGTGACTTATCAATTTTGAGCCCAGTCAATCTTTTCCGAACTTCCTCTCTGTCTACAGTAATCTGAGTATGTCCTCTGCCCTGTCATCCAATACTGCGGCATTTGGGGCATCCATTTTCGTTGTGAAGACATGCAAAGTACTCGTTCAGTACATCAGCCACGCCCTCTGCCTCCACAACAAGATTGCCGTCATTGTCTTTGATTGGCCCCACCCTACCTTTAACTAACCTTTTTTCCTTTATGTGCTTGTAAAATATTTTAGGATTCCCCTTTATGTTACCCGCTAACCTCTTCTCATGCGATCTTTTAGCCTGTCTTATCACTCTTTTAAGATCACTCCTGCATTCTCTATAATGCGCTTTGCTATCCTCAGTGTCTTGCGTCTTCCAATTGTTGTACGCCGTCTTCTTCTTTTTCATCCTAGACAGAATATCCCTGGTCATCCAGGCTGGCTTGGTTGTCGCACATTTCCCTTTGGTGGGAATATATCTATTTAGACCTTGAGCTATCATATCTTTGAAGATCTCCCATTGCTCATGAGTCGTTTTACCTGCTCATCTTACTTGCCAGTGCACCAACTCTAGGTCCCTTTTTAGCCCATCAAAATTAGCCCTTTTCCAGTCAAGCATTTTCACCCTTGACTGTACTTTGTCCCTGTTCATGAGTAATCTAAATCTAATAATATTATGGTCACTGTTACCTCGATGCTCCCCTACCGAAACCTGTTCAACCTGATCTATGCTTCCTCCCTTGTAGGACTGGAGACATACTGCTCAAGAAAATTTTCCTGTAAACAGTCTATGAATCTTCACCTACAAGGCCATTCACGGCCTCGCTCTCTCCTACCTCTCCGACCTACTATCCCCCTATTACCTGCCCGTACCCTCCGTTCCTCTGGCTCCGGTCTGCTCCACATCCCCCGCTCTAACCGCCCTACCATCGGTGGCCGGGCCTTCAGCCTCTCAAGCCCGAGGCTCTGGAACTCCACCCCCCAGTGCCTTCGCCGCCTCCTCCCTTTCCTCCTTCAAGGCCGGTCTCAAGACCTTTCTCTTTGACCGAGCCTTTACCTCCCCTCTCGACTCTCTAACCCCTCCTCGCTCCCTCCCTTCCCTCCCCTCACCCTGACCATTTCCCCCCTGCTTGGGTCCCGACCCAACTGTCCAGCGCCTTGGGACGTCCTCCCGACATGAAAGGCGCTCTATAAATGCAATCATGTTGTTGTTGTTTGAACCAAGTTAAATTTGACCGCAAAAATGACAGCTGCCGCCTCTTAATCTCCTCGATATTCTTCTTGGACCATGGGAAACTGTGCAAAATGTTTCTGTTATCCCCTCTCCTCCATCCCCTCTCTCTCTCTCTCTCTCTCTTTTGCTCTCTCGAGCACATGAGTGAGTTTTGCAAGAACTGAATGTTCTACTCTGGGTGACACGGCTCATGATTATAGAACAAATAATAATCCCCACCAAGTCTGATCATAATCGCACCTGATACAACAGTGGCACAGCTGAGATTAGTTAATTCAGCACAGAGCTGAGAGCAAACCTGGAGAATCTGGCTCATTATCACGTCAGGTGATGCCTTTGCCAACTGAGCCTCGCCCTCGCAAGCAAGAGGACTTGCGTTCGTTTCCCAGGCAGGGGGGCGAAACCTTAGGCAAGTTTCCTTACTCCACACACCTCTGTTTACCTAGCAGTGAGTAGGAACCCGGTTGATGGGCGGATCCTTTCAAAAAATAAAGTAAAGAATAGTAATAATAATTTAGTCACTCAATCCACGACTATTTGTGGGACGCTGCTGTTGCCATGTTTCACCCACAAAATGTACAGTCAATTCACTTTACAGTATATCCTGTGATGCGCTTTGAGAGGTCTCAAATTCAACTATTATTACTATTAATAATATTATTATTACCATTAATAATAATGCACTTTGTAAAACATCTTATTAAAGGATGTTCTGGTTTTGCATTGTCCATTTTAATGCATCACCAAATTTGCTTATTTAAAAATTCATTCTTTGCATTTACATTCATTTTAAATTTTTTAACAAAAGTAGATTTGTTGGGCACTTATTTTCACAAAGTGATGGATGTAAAAGTAAGCTACAGGGGTTTTGTGGCTTGGTTTTTCTTAGGGGAATTCCTCTGCCTCGTCACTTCCTGAACAATTTGAATAGAAGACGTGACAAAGGCTATATCAAATGCAAGAATTATTATTATTATTATTATCATCTTCAGAATTCAGTACACACTTATTGACTGCACATACGGACTCTTAATCAACGTATGTGTTTGGAAACACAAGACAGAGGGTTGCCCAACAGGAATAACTATAATCAAGAGAAAAAAGCGGAAAAACTGCAAGTCAATAGAGTCCCTCACCACACCCTCAAAATTACCTTAGTATTTGGTTTTATAGCCGTTTCCAAACTACTCAGTGTTTCACAGTCCACAAAAGAAATTTGCAGACCCAGTTCTGTTGCAATTTGACGGAAATATCTGTTGGTACCTGAAAAATAAAGCTGTGTCACTTGGCTCGTTTATGGTTGCGGGTGGAAGTCCCACGTTTAGCCTGAAGCAGAGGAGCACTACATTATCAGAGGTTCCGTCTTTCGCATTAAACTGAGGTCCCACCCGGCTGCTTTTTTAGTACGTTAAACATCTACGGCACTGTTCAAAAACAGAGGGTGTTTCTCCCTGGGCCCCTGCCTAGCCCACCAGACTTTGTGGTCATTCACCTCATGGCAGTTTGTGTATCTCGCACGTGCAAAACGGCTGTCAAATTTCAAAAGTAATCAACAGAAGCGTTTTCGGACATTTCAGCGCGGTGAAGTGCTATAATAATTGTTATTTCTTTCATTTCATCTCAGGTAATACTCTCACATTCGGGTAACACAGAAATGCAACCCTTGTTTTTCATTCTAATGTGTCCTGGACGTACCAATAAAAGTGTGTGGGGTAAGTGGAGAACTTGTATCAGCCATGGATTTCCTGAACGCTATTGAGAAACCTCTGCGTAAGAGGGAGGGCAGGACCAAATAAAATTGCAGTTCACCAACCCCCACTTACATGCTACGACTTGCCAGGCAAGTCCACAGTGCTCCACCAGACCCACTAATAAAATTAAATCAAATTAGGAGAAAGTGAAACATTGGGGTGATGAGATATTAATAATTGTGCATCAGATATTTTGTGATGTGAAAGGCGTTATGTAAATGTAATTTTGTTGTTGTTGTTACGTTTAGAACATATGAAATGCTGGACAAAGAAAGACATCTAGTTCGCTTTCCACCTTCATGTACATATGTCCCAAACTACCTTTGTACTGTATCACATGAATTGAAGGAATCGACAGTTCCTGCTTCAACCGCCGCCCTAGGGAACAGGTTCACTATTCACTCACTAAAATAGTGTTTGCGTTCTGAATTTACTCGCCTTCAATCGCAGGCCGTGTCCTCTGGTTTTACTATTCTGGGTAAGTTGTATTATTTTCCTTCTGTTCAAATAATAGTCCCCTCCAGGATTTTTTGTCCCTATGTGAAGTACTTTACATTTCTCCACATTGAATTTCACCTGCCCCCGATCTGCCCAATTTCCAAGTATGTTCAAATCCTCCTGTAACCTATCTTGTTCAGCTTCGCAATCTGCCAATTTCATTAGCTTGGTGTCATCTGCAAACTTAGCCCCGGTGCTTGCTCCTAGTTTCAGATGATTTATGAAAATATTAAACAAAAGTGGCCCCAAAACAGATCTTTGTGGAACTCCACTGGTAACATTTTTCCAGTTTGATGACATTCCCAGTACCACCATATTGGCTATCATTTATGATTTTACTTTTGTGCAGGTGTTACTGTGAGAAGATACTAGGGTCAATACCTCCGTATACATCACTGAAGCAAACAATGCCGTCACCAGTCTTCAGCAAGTGGGTGATAGTGACTGTAGCAGCCAAACCAGATGCAAATGCGAGACCTAGCGAATGAGAGAAAGGACAGCCATCATTATTAAGCACTACATTAAATTCCAGCATGTGTAACAATCTAGTTGAATATTCAGAAAGAAGTGCTGCATTTATTATAATAATAAGCTTTGTAATTGATATAGCGCCTTATCACGTCTTCTAGACGTCTCAAAGCGCCTCACAGGATATCCTGTAAAATGAATTGACTGTTTTGTGGGTGAAACGCAGCAGCCAGTTGCGCACAGCAGTGTCCCACAAATAGTCGTAGATTGAGTGACCAATTTATTATTATTTTTTTAAAAGAATTATTACCCCTGGAAAAGCGATCTGCCAATCGACTAACAACTGGGTTCCTACTTACTACTAGATGTACAGAACGCACGGACACACCTCCAGATCGTTTATCTGAATATGTCACTGTCAAGTAGGTCAAGTATCAGAGTAAACCTGGAATCCACACATAGTACACAAAGCCTGGTCATGATCTGTGTGGCTGGGATTATATTATATCAGGCAACCTCAACTTGTGAGAAAAGTTTTATTCTAAACATATGTCAATCCTCTGTAGCCAGTCTGGGTTCACGGTGCACCAGGGCACACCTGACTCATTGGCGGGACTTGGAGGGACAGAGCGATTAAACAGAGCCAAGATTCTTCCCACTTGACTCCTGTTAACCTGTAAGCCATAGCCCTAATGGGTCGGGTGGTCCTAGTGGGATAAGCAGCAGATCAAGGGATATGGGGGAAAGGCAGATAATTGGAGTTGAGGTACAGATCAGCTATGATCTTATGGAATGACAGAACAGGCTTGAGGGACCGAATGGCCTAATCCTGTTTCTAGATAGTGCTCTCAATGGCACCTTGTTTGAACAAGTCATTTTATTACTCTGAGACGCCGTAGGCGTGAAGGGCGCTCTACAAATGCAAAAAATGCAAATGCAAATACAAATGCTCTACAAAGGTTGTTGTATTTGATAGAATCGTAGAATATTACAGCACAGAAGGAGGCCATTAAGCCCATCCATCGTACCTGTGCCTGTGCTTTGGAAGAGCTGTCCAATCAGTCTCACTCCCCCGCTCTTCTCACGATATCCTTGCAAATGTTTCCTTTTCAAGTAGCTATCTTAATTCCCTTTTGAAAGTAGTTATTGAATCTGTTTTCACCAAGCTTTTCAGGCAGTGCATTCTAGACTGTAACAGCTCTCTGTGTAAAAAAACAATTTCTTCTCACCTCCTCTCTTTTTACGCACTTGATTTTCCTCTCGTCTCTAGACACAAGACCTCAGCCAAGGGGTGGAGTAATTAATGCTCGTTTTAAACCTTACCCACCCGGTCAGGGACTTGGCTGGGCTCTAAATCATTTGCGATAATAAGGGGAATATGATATAATAATTGCTCCCTCCTTCCCCATCTTCAGGTCGCACCTGAAGAGACCTTCCTCTTCGACAGTGCCTATGGTCACCTCCCACCAGCTCTATGTCGTACTCACAGGATACACTGTAAAGCGTAGTGACTGTGTATTTTGCAACCTACTGTGTTTCGCTCCATCCAAAGCTGCAACAACCTTCTCTAAGCAGTTCCGCGTGGGGTTCCCACTGCGACTGTATTCAAAGCCCTGCAGAAAAATCCGGAATATCAAACACTTTAGCACCATAATTGATTCACAAAAAAAAACCTTACAGATGAAGGCACAATTTGAATAGAAGCATTAATGTGAGTATTTAACATATAGGAAGACAAAAGGAATGGGGCAGGAGGCTTGTGAATGCCTCACAATGAGCTGCTATCTACACAATACCATGTTATTTTGTTCCACATCCTCCACAACAGTGTTAGCTATTAACCCTTGAAGATGAGAGGTCGTTTTATTCATATGGAAAACAGGATCCCTTTTATTTTATTTTATTTGCCTCACAAGCTTGGATTCCCGGGCGAAACTTTACGCACGCTGGAGGGTAATAATCCTTCCATCCGATACAGCACATTGTTATCATGTTGTTAAGACATCTCAAAGCGCTTCACAGAATATTTTCTAAAATGAATTGATATTATATTTTTGTGGGTGAAACACATCAGCCAATTGCGCACTGCAGTGTCCCACAAACAGTTGTGAATTGTATGACCAAATTATAAAAGGGCTTATTACCCCCGGAAAGCGATCCGCTAATTGACTAACAACTGTAGTTCTACTTATTGCTTGGTAAACCGAGGTATGTGGAGTAAAGAAACTTGCCTAAGGTGTCGCCCTGCCTGGGAATCGAACCCAGGTCCTCTCGCTTGTGAGGCAAGCGCTCTAACCAATGCAGTCATACTGTAGCATAACAGCATATTACTCCATTTAAAAGGTTTATCCACGGTGAAGGTTCAATGTGTAATCAATTTTCTGTTATAATAAAAAGAATTACATTTGATACAGCGCTTTTCACGTCTTCGAGACGTATCAAAGCGCTTCACAGAATATACCGTAAAGTGAATTGACTGTATATTTGTGGGCGAAATGCGGCAGCCAATTGCGCAAAGCAGCGTCTCACAGTCGCGGTTTACGAGTAAGATATTTTTTCATTATCTACAATGTAAACAGTCAAGCACAGAATATGCTTAGACAGCAGAATATTTTCCCCCAAAAGTTAATCAATAACTCAAAATTTTGTCGTTGCCTCATTTTACAATTGTGCAAAACATTACTTATTTGGAAATATTACTTGATGACAAGTAAGGAATGGAGTTAAAATGGCTTATTTTGATGCAGGTTGTACGGTACAGTGTTGAAGAAATGAGTTACGTATCAACATACAACAACGGCTTAGGCACGGTCGAAGGGGAAGGTCTTTAAGAGCGACCTGAAGATGGGGAAGGGACAAGGCGGTGGGATAGAGGAAGAGTGTTCCAGAGTTTCAGGGCATAAGTGGTTGAAAGTGCGGCCACCAATGGTGGAACATACATGGTCCCTCTGCCACAGTCGGTAGACAGTAAGTCAAGAATTATGACAGGTCCCGAGAATCTAAGCCTTCCTCTCCTCAGCTGTGGTTCAAACTCTTGCTGAGTTAAAGACGGAATATTACAGCTTGCAGAAGGTCACACAAGTTGGATATTTTGTGTTAAATTAGAAAGTTACAATGTGTACTAGAATTCCCTGGCAACGCCGTGCTTTTTCGAGACTATTTTTATTGTACACCAGCTGTACCCTACACGGTTTTCACCTACAAGGCCATTCACGGCCTCGCTCCCTCCTACCTCTCTGACCTACTATCCCCCTACCTACCTGCCCGTACCCTCCGTTCCTCTGGCTCCGGTCTGCTCCACACCCCCCGCCCCAACCGCCCTACCATCGGTGGTCGGGCCTTCAGCCTCTCAGCCCCGAGGCTCTGGAACTCTATCCCCCAGTGCCTTCGCCGCCTCCTCCCTCTCCTCCTTCAAGGCCGGTCTCAAAACCTTTCTCTTTGACCGAGCCTTCAGCTCCCCTCTCGACTCTCTTTCCCCTCCTCGCTCCCTCCCTTCCCTCCCCTCACCCTGACCATTTCCCCCCTGCTCGGGTCATGACCCAACTGTGCAGCGCCTTGGGACGTCCTCCTGACGTGAAAGGCGCTTTATAAATGGAATCTTGTTGTTGTTGTTGTTGTTGTACCCGTTGCAGTTACGTTTGCAATCGGTTTCATTTAATCGGCCTGCTCTCTTTCGTCTGGCATCTTTACTTGTCCTTGAAAGGCTTGATCATCGCTTCTCAGGCATCTTTATCCCTTAAGATTAACAAAATGTGCCATTGATCCCTTCTTCACATATTTGTACACACATCCTTTTGGGAGGACTCCTGTGGGAGGACTCCTGGTTGGAAGGTCTCTACGTCAATTGGTTAGACCAGGAGTGGGCAATTATTTTGGCTGGTGGGCCATTTCGTGAGTTTTGGTAAGCTTTGCGGGTCACACACTTAATATAGATGCAAATGCTTAATAATAGCTCAAAATAAAGTCTTACACTTGTACATGCATAAAATATTGTCTATATAATTGACATTCATTAAAATTAGGTTAAATAAAAACAACTCCACACAGAGCCTAATAATAATCCCTCCAAAAAACAAAACAATAATAAATTGGTCATTTTCAATCTACGACTGTTTGTGGGACGCTGCTGCGCGCAATTGGCTGCCGCGTTTCGCCCACAAATATACCGTCAATTCACTTTACAGTCTATTCTGTGAAACGCTTTCAGACGTCGAGAAGACGTGAAACACGCTGTATCAAATGCAAGTATTATTGTTATTATTATTATAACTCATCGATATTTATTCATTTATTCACATATTGATGAGAATGTGAGACACTCACTCAATGAGAAGCATGAAAAAGCTGATGAGCGTTAGCCAGACAATTGAAGTCAGGCATCGTCTCCGTTGTTGCAATGCGGAGTACTGCTGCAAGGTGGTCGTCAGTCATCGCAGATCTATGTTTCGATTTTTGAATTTTATTACAGAAAATATCTCCTCGCATATGTATGTTGATCCAAACTTCCTCTGGGCATGAGCCTTTATTTTTGGAAAGGTATATTCATTAAGAGAGGTGTAAAAACTGGGAAGCAGCACTGATTTGAATTGCTCCTCAAGCAATGGATCACATTGCAGGTCAATAAGCTCGCGGTGGAGGTCAAATAGGGTTTTGTCAATATCAAATGAGAAAGGTGAAGAGACCGAAGACAGGTCATCTTCGATCAAAGGACCTCTGCTCTGGATTTGTTTCTTTGACTTGATCTTGAATTCTTTTCAGTAACCCAACATTTTTCCCTGTCAGATTTGGGCTTCCATCGGTGGTCACATTCACCAATTTTTTCCACTCCACTCCTAATTTTACGATACACTTATTTACTGCCTCCAAAAAGTCTTCTCCGGTTGTCCTATCTTTCAATGACTGCATTGATGCCAATTCTTCTGTGAGCTCAAAATGTTCTGTACTACCTCGAATAAAAATTATCAATTGAGCTGTGTCTTTGACATCACAACTCTCATCGAGTGCCAAAATTGCTTACTTTATTTTTTAACTGCAGATACAGGTTCTCAGAGATATCCTCGAACTCCTCACAATAGTTTGACTTGACAAGCCAATGTTGTCGAACTGCTTTTTTTTGTCTGGGCATCCCCACCTCTCTCCTCGTCTCCCAGCTCGGGCCCCTCTCCTATCTGATGTCATCAACCTCTCCTTGTCCACCAGTTCAGTTCCCACCCCCTAAAAAACAGCCGTCATCACACCCTCTTGAAAAAACCTTCCCTGGATCCATCCCTCCTCTCCAGCTACCACCACATCTCTAACCTCCCATTCCTCTCCAAGGTTCTGGAACGAGTCGTCACATCCCAGCTCCGCTCCTTCCCCTCTCGCAATTCCCTCTTTGAACCCCTCCAATCCTTCTTCCTCGCTGCCCACAGCACGGAAACAGCCCTGGTCACAGTCATCAATGACATTCTGACCATCTGTGATCAGGGCTCCCTCTGCTCCTTATAATAATAATATAATTAAAAACCGACACTGTGACAAAAGTAAGAAACGTAAGGGACCCATTTAAAACTGATGCTTTCAGGGACTGAACGCACAATAATTTTTTTCTATTGCTAGACACAATGACGGGCAGCATAGAACCATTTGGAGGGCTGAATGCCCCTGACACACAGACAGATATTTTGTCTTTGTTAGCATGGATGTATCTCTCTAGAAGGGTGTGTGATCTCTGTGTCTGTCGTACTACTTTGTTGTAATACAAATGTAATTTTTGTTGTTTTTTTAACTAAGGAGGTCAGTGCTCATAAGGGTACAAATTCCAATTTTTATTGCACGCAGCATCAGCATTGAATATCCCAGGCCATCTCTTAACTACTCTCATCGAAAATCTATAACCTAGGGTCTGAAAAGTAGTCCATTCAACAACATTTCCCAGTATTGAAAGTCGTAGCCAATTTATTTAGGTCCATTATGAACTTTATTTACGCAAAAGGAACCGGGCATGGCGAAAGCAAGTTTTCTTACTCCTCACGCCTCTGTTTACCTAAAAAATTGGGACTTATAATAATCTTTGCATTTGATACAGCGCCTTATCACGTCTTCGAGACACCTCAAAGCACTTCACAGAATATATATTTTGTGGGAGAAATAAGTTGAGATACAGATCAGCCATGATCTAATAGAATGGTGGAACAGGCTTCAGGGCTGAATGGCCTCCTCTTGTTCCTATATTTAACCGATTGCTGATGGCTTCAGAAACACTAAAGCCAGGGACAATTCAGCATCAATCTAATGCATCGATTGAGCTCCCTCCCCTTGCATCATTAGACTTAATAAACCTAGTAATCTTAATTAATCTTCTGTTGGGTACAAATGGCTGAAACAAACTGAAAGCGACAAAGATTGTAACATGCCCTGATGGTACGACTGACCTGTGATATCTTATAAAATAAGATTAATTTAAGAGCATCAGATTTGAAGTTACGTCATCTTTTGGATCTGTTTTCTCAAAAAGAACATATGTTTGCAGGAACATATGTCAACTGAACTTCCCCAGGGAAATTCAGCTGAACTTTGTGATGATGTGGAAGAAATAACTGCACCCTATTTTAGTTTCATCCTTCAAAACAGCATATGTAAATATATCACAGGACTTTGATCCATATGCTAACACTGTAACGCTCATTACACAATTTATTATAAATCAATCTAATTTGACACAACTTCCTGTGTAGTCTGTACCACATACTGTTTACACCCTTGTATAAGCAAATTAATTTGACCCGCCTGTTCACCTTCCCTCTTAGCATTGTACAGGAAGGGAGTCGAAGCCATGGATGATGATGAAGCAGAAATTCACTAGGAAGATATATTAATTTTATAGTAATCTGGAGACTTGAAAAATCGGAACTGTGTTTCTGCTGGAGAGCAGAGGATTTTAAAAGGGAGAATCTAATAGAGGTTTTAAATCTTGAACATTCACAGCTTTCTCAGCCTCTCAAAACTAACTCACAACTTTACAGTGTGTTCTGTGAAGCGCTTTGGGACGTCCTCCCGACGTGAAAAGCGCTATATCAAATGCAAGGATTATTATTATTATTATTATTATTATTAATGCTAAATTCCATAAATTTGCCTCTCCCGCTATGCTCTTCAATGTCCCGATCCCACTACAATGGGCTCGAATTATACACAGTAGGTATTACTGTACCCTCCGCTGACAGGAACTCGGTTTAAATTCAGTACCACTTCCTGTGACTTTCGCTCTTCCCTTCTTTGACACAATCCTATTTGCTGTAACGGTCTCAGCAGAGTTAGTCATCAATAAATCGGTATCCCCAAACTCCTCTCCTGGACTGTGCCCTGTAAATTAATAATTGATTTTTTGTTTGTATTCCCCATTGTTTATTCTCCTCCCTCCAAACCCATGCTTCTGAATTTAAGTCTGTAGCTGAGTGGTTAGAGCACTCGCCTCGCAAGCGAGAGGACCTGGGTTCAATTCCCGGGAAGGCTTGGGCATGTTTCCTTGCTCCATACACCCGTTTTCCTAGCAGTAAGTAGGAACCCGGTTATTATTCGATCAGTGGATCGTTTTTCCCGGGGTAATAATTCCTTCAAAAGAAACATAATAATATTATTCACTAATTCCACGACTGTTTGTAGGACACTGCTGCGCGCAATTGGCTGTGAAGCGCTTTGAGACGTCTCGAAGACGTGATAAGGCGCTACATCGAATGCAAGGATTATTATTATATCAAATGTAAGGATTGATATTACTATCACATCCATTCCTCAAGCACTCACATCGATCCCTCTTCCTTTGCCAGTTCTATTCCCCGTTGCTCCCAAAGTGCCCCTGAAGTAAACAAAGCATTGCAATCATTAAACTGATTGCATCATTTGCTTCAGGAGCACAGAAGGACATGAAAGGAGAAGGGGGTCAAACAGGCTACACCACATGGGGTTAAGAGAAGCTCTTCCCCTCCCCCGCAGATCCTTTAATTCCAGCATTTAAAAATCTTAGGTCAGAAGCTAAGAACATACTTCACTTCCCATCCTTGCCGCCAGCGATTGGCATATTTTAGAAACGCTTTTTTTTTGTCAGCCGGCTGTCTGATACATGAGGAAACCCACCACCACGTTTCGGAGCATCCAAACCAAGCTGAGAATGCCATGCATCCCACCGATACACGGAGGTTCCAGAGATATTTGTTGGAATGGAATGCGCGCTCTCTGACTTTCAGGGAAGCGTGCTGCTATTTTATTTATATTAAAATTATACGTATGTTATTTGTGAATTATATCTGCGTCTGGCCTCTTCCTGTGGGTTCGTTTAGCACTTTAAAGTGTTTCCAAGCACTTAAGTTTCCACAAAATACAGCAATAGTCAAAAGCAACATGTGACCACTTAATCCATGACTGTTTGCGGGGACGCAATTGGCTTCCGCGTTTCGCCCACAAAATACACAGTCAATTCACTTTACAGTATATCCTGTGAAGCGCTTTGAGACGTCTCGAAGATGTGATACGGCGCTATTATTAAATGCAAGGATTATTATTGCTATTATCCTTGTTGCAGCAATACGAATGTGGCAGATAATTTTCTTAAGGCATCACTATTCACCGATTGATTGCCCTTTGATAACTTACCACATGCTGCGCTGGAGCAGGCTGTTTAAAGGTGGTGGATAAGGAGATCATGGGCACCAGTGCCATGCACTTCCACTGCTCTGGCTCCTGACCCACATGGAGAGCGTCGGTATCGAAATGTTCGAAGGGCGGCAGGAAGCCCGAACCTGACCCGTTCATGGCAGAACCGGCTGTGGCGTCTTCGTTCGTGGCAGGCAGAGAGCGAGAGAGAGAGAGAGAGAGCGAGGATTGCAGAGGGGCTGAGCGACTAGACTACCCAATGCGTCAGTACTCATTCATCTGGCGGTGGCTACTCATTCGCTCGAGCCGGGTACACCCACCTCGCTAAGCTTATTGCGAATCAGTTAACTGCCTCACTGCCACAAACAGGCTCCCCCTCAAATTCACCGTAAACCTTCCACCTGTATTGTTACGCGCCTTTCAGGCAAATAAACGCTACGCACCTTTTTCTTTAAGCGATCTATCTGAAGTGCTCATGTTATCTAATAATAATAATAATAATAATCATAATCCTTGCATTTGATGTAGCCCCTTATCACGTCGTTGGGACGACTCAAAGGGCTTCATAAGACATACTGTAAAGTGATTTGATCCTATATTTTGTGGATTATATTAGTTACATAACATGGGATTTAGTGAAAGGTTACATTCAGCCTTCCTGTTTACTATAGATTCCACCTGGTGTCCTAACCCCGCAGTTGCTATTTTTACATTCTGTTTACAGCAACCCAGTGATATTAACCAGAAAACAAACATGTGAGTGTTCTTGGAAGTATATTTTTGCCTTGATCAGGTTTTCAAGATCCAGTTCCCGAGCACAGGTAAATTTCCAGGTCCGGTTAGGATACAGTTAAACAATGTGGTGATGACTTTCCCTGTGCTTCAGAGAGTCAGCTGATCAAAAAACACATATGGTTAGTAATATTGTAATAATAGATTCATGAAAAAAATCTCCGTGACTAGCGATGTGACAATCAACTACGTTCCTCATATTATTAATAATAATAATTCTTGCATTTGTTATAGCGCCTTATCGTGTCGTTGAGACATCTCAAAACGCTTCACAGAATATACTGTAAAATGGATTGATGGTATATTTTGTGAGCAACATTCTCATTTTGTGAAACACTGTGTAACATGAAAGGCGTAATATAAATGTTAAAATGTTGCGTTAGGGCAATGAACATTGATGTGGGAAGTAAAGAGTGAATTGGGTATTGCATCATCTGCAGAGTGGGTCAGTCTGTCACAGAGGTTTGAGCCACATTGTTAATAGTAGACTGTTCCTAAAAACAATGAGCCCAGGTATATAATGCGTAGTTTTGGTCTCCTTATTTAAAAAAGAACATACTTGCCCTCGAGGGGGTGCAGCGTAGATTCACTCGGTTAGTTCCTGGGATGAGGGGACTGACCTATGAGGATAGACTGAATAAACTGGGGCTGTATTCTCTGGAGTACAGAAGAATTAGGGGGATCTTATTGAAACTTATAAGATTCTTAAAGGGCTGATAAAGTAGACACAGAGGGACTGTTTCCCCGGTGGGAGAATCTATAACCAGGGGTCACAGTGTTAAAATGAAGGGTCAGCCTTTTAGAACAGAGTTGAGGAAACATTTCTTCACTCAGAGGGCAGTGAACTTATGGAATTCACTACTCCAGAAGGCTGTAGATGCTCAGTCCTTGAACATCTTCAAGACTGAGACTGATAGATTTTTAAAAAATAGAGGGATTAGAGGATATGGGGATAGGGCGGGTAATTAGAGTTAGGTGAGAAGATCAGCCATGATCTTATCGAATGGCGGAGCAGCGCTCGAGGGGCCGAATGGCCGACTCCTGCTCCTAATTCTTATGTTCTTATTAGATCGTTGTATATAGTGTGATGGAAATGCCTGAAAGCAATCTGGCAGATTTGTGCATCAGTGCGATGGAAAGCAGGGCAATAAGTATCGGAACATAAGAAATCACACAGCGTCCTGGCCAATAATCCTCCAGATAAAAGTCGTTGCTGAATTATTGGCTGTTTGCAGGGCGTTGCAGTGAACAAATTGGGCAGGGGGGGGCGGGGGAGAGGGCAGGGCGGGGGGAGGGGGAGGGGGGGGGGGAGGGGGAGGGGAAGGTGACTGCGGGGGCGGTCGAAGAAGAGGGTGAAGAGGACCCGAAGATGGAGAAAGAGGGGCGAGGGGGGGCGCGAGGGGGGCGGGAGGGAGGTGGGCAGCTCGGTGTGTGGTGCCAGCTGGGGGGGGGGGGGGGGGGTGAGGGTGAAGGGAGGGGGGGGTGAGGGGAGGGGGGGGTGAGGGAGGGGGGGGGGGGGGGGGGGGTGAGGGGAGGGGGGGGTGAGGGGAGGGGGGGGTGAGGGGAGGGGGGGTGAGGGGAGGGGGGGTGAGGGGAGGGGGGGGGGGGGGGGGGGGGGGGGGTGAGGGGAGGGGGGGGTGAGGGGGGGGGGGGGGGGGTGAGGGGAGGGGGAGGGGGGGGGGGTGAGGGGAGGGGGTGAGGGGAGGGGGGGTGAGGGGGAGGGGGGGTGAGGGGGAGGGGGGGTGAGGGGAGGGGGGGGGGGGGGGGGAGGGGGGGGGGTGAGGGGGAGGGGGGGGTGAGGGGAGGGGGGGGTGAGGGGAGGGGGGGGTGAGGGGAGGGGGGTGAGGGGAGGGGGGGTGAGGGGGGTGAGGGGTGAGGAATGGAGGGAGTTAAACACTAGCGCGAGAGTCTGTGACAGGATGGGGGCGCGGAGCTGAGTGCGGGTGAGAATGTGTGTGATTATTCATCAATAATAATCCTTGTATTTGTGTATTTTTTGGGTCGCTCTGGCGCGTGGCTCACGCCCAATCGGGCGGGTTTGGGGTTGCCCCTCCCACCCCCCTCCCCGCGGCCGGTGCGTGACTCACGTCATTCGCGCGCGGCGCCTCCAAAAAAACAACCCGCCCGATTGGGAGTGAAAACCGCCCCCCAATCCCGCCCACCGCCAGTTGACGGTTGGGAGGGAGGAGGCGGGGCCTGTTGCCAGGGCGACGGCGCCACGCGACAATCGGGCGTCACAACTGACAGTATGAAGTGGAGGGGGGGGGGGAGGGGGGGGAGAGGAGAGAGGGAGATCGGAGCCAAACATCGCCAGAGTTGTTTTTTTTCTTCTTTCCCCCCCTCCCTCCCCCTTTCCCTTCTTCCAAGTTGGGGGCGTGCGCGCGCACGAGGCGGACGGCTCGAGATTTCGGGGTTTCTCTTGGATCTGATAAGATTATCTATTTTTAAAGAAATCTCGCGATAACTCGCGAGCGAGAGAGGCGGAGAGAGAGCGCGCGCGAGAGCGACTCACTGCGCAGGCGCTAGTCCTAGAGAGCCAGCCAGAGAGACTCACTGCGTAGGTGCTCGTCACGGAGAGCGCGAGAGAGCGCGAGTGAGACTTATTGCGCAGGCGCAAATCACAGCGCGCGAGTGAGACTTACTGCGCAGGCGCAAGTCAGAGCGCGCGAGTGAGACTTCCTGCGCAGGCGCAAGTCACAGAGAGCACGAGAGAGCGCGAGTGAGACTTCCTGCGCAGGCGCAAGTCACACAACAGCGCGCTCATCACCGAAACCTCGCGATACTTGGGAGAGGGCCGGGGGGGGGGGAAGAGAGAGAGAGGGTCAAACAAAATGGCGGCGGTTTGAAGTGCACTCGGCTGGGAGGGGGACATTGCCGAATGAGATAGTGGCGCCAGACGACTCTACCGGACGCTCCGGTTCACTTGCACTCCGGCTTTATTTAACGTTTACTGCACAAAACTTTCTCGTTTTTTTTGAAAGGAAAACAATACTCTAAATCCATTTTTTTTTACCTCAAAGCATCCCCTTTTCCTTCACCCCCTTCTCCCCTCCCTCCCTCCCTCCCTCCGTAGGCCGCGAGTGGGTTTCCTCCCCCCCTTACTGTCTAATTCCTATGTTACCGCAGCCTCCCAGCCCCGTGTTTGACTGGCGCTACATGTCGTTGTGCGGCGGTGGTGGCTGTCGAGGTGCTAACGTCGTCGAGCTCCGAGTTTGCCCGAGGTCCCAGGCGGCCTCAACGCCGCCGCCGTCGCCCCCATCACCACCATCAACATGACAGGAGAGAAGGCGGAGAGGGTCGCCAACTGCCGCTCGGTGCGCAGGGAGCACAGGCTGAGCAAAGAGGAGGCCGAGACGGAGCAGGACGAGGAGGCGGGCAGGACTAAAAACCGAACCAAGCTCTTCCCCAACCACAAGCTGATCAAGAGCCCGTCGCAGCCACAGCCGCAGCAGCTGCAGAGCAGCCCGGCCTTCGGCACCGACGCGCCCCCCGCCAGGAGCGAGGATTTCCCGGTGCACGAGTGCGTCTTCAAAGGCGATATCCGCAGGTTGTCGTCTTTGATAAGGACTCGCAACATAGCTCAGAAAGATCTCCACGGTGAGTGAGTCAGTCCCGAGTGTGTCTGGTGGACCTACATGAAGCTCGCGTCTGTCTGTCTGTCTCTGTCTGTCTGCGTCTGTCTGTCTGTGTCTGTCTCTGTCAGATGGATGGAAAAGCAACTCCTGTATGTATCCCCAGCCTCCTGCTTCAGTGAAGCAATGGAGCTTTTCTCCTGGTTATTCTGTCCACGACAATTCATCCCCAAATTCATCCCCTCTCCCTTCCTCCCGTTCGCCTGGTCAAATTCACACTAATGTAAAGGGCTGGAACTCTCATCCCCCAAAAGGCTGTAGACGCTGATCTCTTGAAGACTGTGGTGGATAGGACATTTGTTAGGTCAAGCGTATTAAGGGATACCGGGTAATTGGACTTGTGGTACAGATCAGCCCTGATCCTATAGATGGTGGAACAGGCTCGAGGGGCTGAATGGCCTACTCCTGTTTCTATACGCGCCTCGCTGTAAATGGGACCCTGTTGGCATCCGAATAGCTATCGCGTTTGCCAGTATAAGAACATTCATATTGGTTTTGCTCGGTTTGTTTTGTAAAGGCACTTGAGTCATGTAAGATGTTTTGTATTAGTTCACGTTGTTGTCGGCGTGTGTGTGTGTGTATAGGCGCCATTCTGTTGATGGGACCATTGACGGTTGGTGTCCTGGGACTCGAATACAAATGTGAAGGCCAAACTTGTTGCATCTAATCGACTTGTGTTTTTCATTCCTTTGGGATTTTTTTTTATCCTTGTTAATAATTAGCTTGGTTATTTTTTAAAAAACCTTGGATGGCCATTCTTGATAGGTACTGTATTTTTTTTTGTTGATTTATTATCAACAAAGTTATCACCTCACCCCAAATTCATAAAATTGACTCCTTCCCAGTAGAAGGAAAATGAAAATAAAAATGCTTGCGGGGAGAGAGAAAGAGAGGAAAAAAATGTGGAAAAAATTAAAGACACATGCTAACATAGTCCCAACATTTTCCAGATATAACTGTAAACTTCAAAGGCGCTATATACCTGTTGAACTTCAGAATTAACACACTTTTTTCAAAGCTAATTAAAAGGCTTACTGTATGTGGTCCATATAGATCAATAGATGGTGTACTGCAACTGGCATAAAGGAAAATGGTTTGGCAACGACTATGACAAGCGAGACTGCTTTCAATTAATTATACTTTGATGTTTTAAAGTAGAACATTATTTAATCCTCAGTATTTCCAATCCATTCTCCAAATTGTACTGGTGGACGTAACACTGTGGGCATGTGTTTCGAATTTAAACAATGGCTTGGAATATTTGGTTGTAAGAAGTGTAACCACTTGAATAGTATTTTGAATCTTGTTGCAAAGGCAACCAGAACTAATTATGATTAGATACTACATTATCTATCTAGATAATACACTAATTAGATACATCCCATTGACTTTGATTATTAGTTGGGTAGGAGTGCGTGGAATTATAGTATTAACTCCTGATTGCCTGTCACGCCAAAGGAAAAGAACTCAGTGACAGGTTATCCAGAGTGGCGAGTTAGGCATATTATGAACACATAAACAAATAAATGTGGCCAGGATATTGACAGCATGATGACTTAATGTAGCATAGTGACAAGTTAAGCCAGGGTCGAGCTTTCAGGAGTTCACTGTACTTCAACCAACAACCTCATCTCCCAAGATGAAGGAGAGCCTAAATCCAGTTTGGATCAATCTGTCTTGAAAATGTCTTGTTCTTTGCATTGTCTATTCTATTTAGAGAATGATGTATTTTTTCCTAAATACAGTTTTGACTTTTTTTGAAAAAGTGAACAAATTCAGTGCACTACAGTATTTTCCCACGAGTTAAGACTTGAGGAATTTCCTCCTTCTCATCCCCAAAGGGTACTGTGATTTATTTTTTGAAAAGATGATATGATCTTGTGTCCCGCCTAAGTGGGGAAGTCATTTTTTTTCTTGGGGGAGCCATGTAAACTGATGAATCTATAATCTTCCATATAGTATCCAGGTATGTTTTTAATCTATAGAACACAAAAATGGTTTGATTTGTTCTGAGAAGCACTGAATCGATTTTTGAGCATGAACCCACTGAATAAACATAGTGATAAGTGATCTGGTGGTGCATTTGTAAATGTTCAGAACAGGGGGAACTGAGAGCAAATTGGGAGTTTTCACTGACATTCATCTAAACTAAATAACCAAACTAAAGTAACTAATTCATCGATCATTGTCATTAATAGAGTAAAAATCAATTTTAATATTCTTAGTTATTAGCTGATGCTATCTACTCAGCATTTTTCTAGATATCAGTGAAATAGGGTAAAATGTTGATCGACATATCGAACTGCGAATACACATTTTGGGAAATTTTTCATTTGCAGTATTGCGCACACAAGCATTTTACAGCTTCCTCCAGCAATCCAAAAAGAACAATGAAAGATATTGCATTTGACGTAGTCTTTTTCTCCACAGTGTATATTGGTGCTTAACTTTGATTATTTTCTAGCAGCCTGATGCTGAGATTCATTTTAGTCCAAAGAGATCAGAGGCTTGAATTTCCACCTCTTCGTAGCCTGTAAAACCAATTCACTTTTAATTCAGAAGCTGTTTTTAAGAGTTGCGAAAAAGTTGTTTCCAAATTAAGACTGAATTTTGCTCATTTCTATACAATGCTAAATTTAAAACAAAATAGGTGATACATCAGGCCTCTGTTACTTTGCTGGCATTTGCATTGTATAATGCTTGCATGTTTGCAGTTGTTTTTAATCTATTCAGTTCAATGCAAGTGTTAGTCACAAGTGGTAGTTGTGACTATTTATATTTGTATCTTTATTAAAAAAGTATGTGGAGAATCACTGCTAACCATCAACATTCCCAGTATGGAAAAGTAATATTGGTCCTAATTAAAATCCAGATTTACAGAAACTGAACCCAGTTTTATAATAATAATAATCCTTATTTGATATAGCTCCTTATCACATTGTTGAGACATCGCAAAGAGCTTCACACAATATTAAAATTAATTGGCTTTATATTTTCTGGGCGAAACATAGCAGCAAATTACGCACTGATTGAGAGACCAATTTTTTTTGCCCAACATGTGCCTTGGAAAAGTCTGAGTACTGTCTCGTTTGTGTCTTGCAGTCATTTAATTAAACAAAAACATTTGATTAGAAGAACACCCTTTCAAAAGGATGTTTTTTGTTTAAAGTCAAGGTGGGTACTTTTGTGAGCTGAGGATTGGCGTGCAATGTGAAGTACCTAGTTTTGTTTGAGGGTTTTGCAACCATTATAATTTTTTTTCAATTAACTTTTTTCAGTTACCATTACCATTACTGGAACTGCAGATTCCAATTTGTGTAATATACTTATTTCAATGAAAAGATCAGTGGACTATCTTGAAAATTGCCATTTAAAGTGTAGAATAAGAAAAGGATCTTTGTCACTGTTCTGCCACATTTAATTAGGTCTAATTTTCCATTAGGAAAATCACAAATAACCAGACAATTTGGTAATGTAACTGATGCGTGTAATACTAGTTCTGTGATTAGATGGTTTGAATCTCTGTGTATTTCATCTTTTTTAGGAAACACACCTTTACATCTTGCTGTGATGCTTGGACACAAAGGTGAGTACTTTTGACAGCTCTGAAAGCCTCAAGCTGTACTCTTATTGTGATTCTTTCTATTTTTAGTTCTCCACAGAGTGCTCCAATCTAAACACAGCTGTCAAACTCTCATTGCTGAATTATTAGGATGTAACTTACTAAAAGCTGTTTGCTGCTTCACTTTATTAGGGTGTCACTAAAAGCTGTTCTCTGCTCCACTGCAATGTAAGTTGCAGCCATACCTATTTATTTTGATAACTGCATACTTGTAAGGATTGTTTGCATGTATTATTATAAATATTGTAATATAAAGTTTGTCTGCGCCTGCAATAAACCTCTCCAGTTGCAGAACTGTTTAATAGGGTGGCTACTAGCATGTGATTTGCAAAATGCCGAAAGTATCAAAGTTTTTTTGTGTGCAAGTGAGACTCCTTAGGAATAACGTGACTATCTAAAGAGGAGTATATTGTGTAGTTAAAGAATGAATTAAGGATGAATTCGTAGGACTGCTCTTTTAACCACATGTGACTCGTGAAGATTTGATTGTGGAAAATATATAACATTTGGTATGTTCTATCAAAATGCTTTTAGTACAATTGAGCAGGATTAAAGAAGGTATCTGAACATTACTCTGTGACAGTGCTCCTCTTAGTAAGTACAGTATCTTGATGCATTCAATACAGTTTCCTTTTGCATATTCTAACCTGGAATATAACATTTTGGGGGAATTTTGATTGCTAAACAAAAAAAATGCACAAACATTCTGTGTTTAAGTTTCTAAGTTGAAAAAAACAACCTGCAATTATAATGCACCCTTCACTTAGGATCATGTCTCACAGTGCTGCTGGTGAACATGTGCTATACCAAGATGTACTATAACTAGGACAGGCTGTATAATGTGTATTCATGCAAATTACATATATTGTTTCATAAATTTATTTAGAAGTTGAGGGATTTATTTTATTACTGTCTCTTAAAATTCTTTTGCAATACGAGTTAGTATTTTTGGAAGCAACACTGCTTGTTTTGGAAAATTTGGTGGACAAATGATATGCCTTTAGGCATAATTGTACATTCAGAGTTCCTGATACTTTGTTGGACTCATGCAATTGGGTATTTTTACAGAAGCTATGATTAGTGCATATTGTTCGTCAAACAAAGCAGAAATAAAACTTTTTTTTGAAAGTTCACGGTAATTTGATTCTAAGGGGACGAGTTTATGCACAACTCGAATTAATACATTGTATTCTGTTGATTTTGGTTACGGATGTTTTATCTACAAAGTTATAGATGTGCTTCCTGAATGTTCAGAATTTTAAGTGGTGAATAGGGACTCCTGAGTAACAAAACGGAATACTTTGGCACCCAGTGTTCATACTGAACATTAACAAGTCAGGTGTTACTGTTACAACACTAAACTTCTACGTTCTTTGAGCATAGGAACAGGACTAAGCCATTCAGCCCCTCAAGGCCCATTCCGTCATCCTATAAGATCATAGCTGATCTGTACCTCAAATCCAATCCAATGGGGCCCTTGCCTCATAACCCTTGATACCCTGACTTAACAAATATCTATCCACTTCAGTTTTGAAAGCTTGAATGGATCCAGGATCTAAGTTCCGGAGAGTAGCTTTTAACCACTTTTCCTCACTCTGGAACACTATCCCAAAATGATCCCACGTCACACTCTTTGCTTCCAGAACCTTTCTAAAAATGTATTACTTTGACCATACGATAGTCATCTAGTCCTCCTAACCCATTTCCCCGTCCTTACTCAGGCTTCCACTCTTCTGTAAAGCCCTCTAAGCCACTGTGTTACATAATAATAATAATCCTTGCATATGATACAGTGCCTTATCATGTGTTTGAGACATCTCAAAGCACCGAATGTACTATAAAGTGAATTGACTGTTTTGTGGGCGAAATGCGGCAGCCAATTGTGCACAGTACGTGAAAGATGCTTTGGGAGTTGGAAGTCCTATAGATCGGGTGGGGCTGTGAATTCTCCTTGCTTTTTTCTGTATAGGAATTGGGAGCTCCATATTGCTCAATTTCCCTGACATATACACATTCTCACTGATTCTGTAGAGAAAAAGGCTTTAACGTGCACAGTCGTTTCTTTAAAATGTAATCCTGTCTCAAATCCTACTTTTTCGCAGACAGGCTACTTCCTCTGCATTCCCCACTCCCCCCCCCCCCCCCCTTGGTGTCCCAACACTGTCACTGTAAAACGCTCCGAGGTGTTATTTTACATGATGGTGCTGAAACACTGCCAGTTGTTGGTTAATTCTCGTATTTGATATAGCGCCTCATCATGTCATTGAGGTGTCTCAAAGCGCTTCACAAAATATACTGTAAAGTGTACGGTCTGTGTTTTGTGGGCAAAATGTGGCAGCCAATTGCACACACAGTATTGCTGATACAAGATGTAATAAGTGATTTCCCAGGAGTATGCAATAATATCCCCAACATTGTCTTGATTTATTCTATTAACAGTATGGACAGAAGTAGCATTGCCACAGATATAATGAGCTAAAATTGCTTCTGCTTGTTCAAATTTTCTGTTACTATAATCCCTTCCTTTCATATTGAGTTAATGGTTCCTAACTAGTACTTGGTTGTAGTTCAGATTTATTTTTTTTTGCATTTGCTTGTTACTCCATTTTGTTAATTTACAATACTCTGATTTTGGTCACCTTTAGATTTTACAAAGGGATTGCAAATGGATTTATAATATAGTTTGAGCAGACTAGAACAAAATACAGTGTTGACACTTTTGTGGTTTAAAGGTTTTGGCTGAGAATTTGAATTTGATCTGCAGTGTTAACATTTTACCTCTATGCCTATTCATGTATGGACTGACTGACGGAATTACTGGCATTATTGAAATAAGGTACTGCTTTTGCAGCTGATAATTTTAGTCATTCTTTCTATCTGATGGAAGGAGAATGAAGAATAGTAATGGAAATAAATGGTTCTAAATTTTCTGAGCTGTATTAATCTAAGTTTTGCATGAGTTATTACAATTGACAAATCTACTGCATTGCACCTTGGTGGTTTAATATTCTGGGTTATTAATTTACCTCGAATAATTAGGCTGAGGTGTTTGATTGTTCAATCAGGAATTTATGTTGTGATGTTTAACTATCAAAATCTATACTGGTATCTGAATCTACACATCAAAGGTTCCATTGTGAGTGAAGTTATCTGCTAATGACGATTGGGAATCTCTGTTGGAATAATGACTCGTGATCATTGATTGAACTATTTACATGGACGATATTTAATTGGTGCCAGATTATCTTTTTAAATATGGTACGAGTGACAGACCCAAAAAGCATCAGGCTTTTGAACATTGAGAGATTGCTTGATCTAGCTATCTTTTGTGGAGGTTATTTTTAAAGAGCTTTTAACATTAAAGACTGAATTCCAGTTAGAAAATTGGTTTTGCATTTCAAAGCACAACATGGATGCTATAGATGTATATTTATGCACTCTTTTGTGCATAACAGCCATACAATAATATAGTAAAGTGCTAAAAGTAACAGGCAGAAGTGAATTAAAGGATACACTGAACTGTTGGGATCTGAGCGAGATGAAGTAGAATTCCAGTTCAATGGTTATAGGAAATCCATCATCCACAGTCACATACCAGTAACTGCATTTTGTGACCTTTTAAGTAGTATGTGAATTCTATGATCAGTGAAGCACTCGAGGAATATTAATAGGTGATACCGATACTGAGTGCAATCGCCTGCCATGTTCATCTGCAAAATACACACTCACTACAATTTAGAGTGAATCCTATGAAGTGCTTTATTTCCTCCGATATGGAATATTAAGTGTAAGATTTATTTACTGGAGTTATGGTAGTAAACTCACAATTATTGCTAAAGTGTGAGGTTAGGATTTTCTTTGCACAGTTAATGTATCAAGATGTAGAAGCATTATCACAAGTAGCTCTTGAAACCAAATCAGTTGCGTCATTTAAAAGGGAATAACATAAGCATATGAGGAATGAAGATAAGAGGTTTGTATAGTGAAACCGGGAAATGGATTAGACCTTATCTCTCCACTGTGGAGAGATAACCTCCTGTGTTTAGATTTCTAATACTGTATTATTTTCATGTGGCTGTAATGTGGACCACATAGCAGATAGCCAAAATGTGACTATTTTTACATAATTAATTGTAAAATATTTAGCAAAAGCATTCCAAATTGATTTTACAAACTCTGGCTTATTATTTTATTTCTGATTATTGTAGCGGGGACACTTGTCATCAGAATTGTGAAGAAGGAAGAATTTGTTTTTTTAAAAAAACTGCAAGGTTTCATTAGATTGTGTTCTGATATGGGTACTTGTAAGAATTAAGCTGCCATGTCTATGACCTGTTTTGTTCATGACTTGAATGGCCTGTGTTGTGCATCCGTATCTTGTGACAAACATACACAGCTGCAACAAAAAATGTGTGCACAATTTTTAGCTTACCTAGTTATGAATTGTATGATCCATTGTTTTGCATTTTTGCTCAGACTGCCGGACTGCTATCTGAAGAAATCAATATAGAAATAAACTGGATTTGCTTATTGATGTGTTTTCAGTATTAAAACCCTTGAATGCTATATTTCTTTTGCCTCTTGTGTTGAATATTGTTAATCATAATAAAACTTCGATATAGCGCTTTATTGTCTCACAAGTGAGAGGACTTGGGTTTGAGTCCCGGCCAGGGTGAAACGTTAGGCAACTTTACTTACTCTGCATGGCTCTGTTTACTAGCAGTAAGTAGGAACCTGGTTGTTAGTCGATTTGTGGATCAGTTTTTTGTGGGGTAATAATTCCTTTAAAATAATAATAATAATGTGGTCACTCAATCCAGGACTGTTTGGGAGATAACTGCTGAGTGCAATTGGCTGCTGTGTTTTGCCTACAAAATATACAGTCAATTAATTTTACACTATATTGTGTAAAGCGCTTTAAGACATGTTAGAGACATGATAAGGCGCTATATCAAATTTAAGTA